CCACAGCATCACCGGGGAAGCCCTCCCCGACTCAGGGCAGAAGGAGGGCCCGGGAGGTGAGGGCGTGGCCAGGTGGAAAATGCACTGCGCACCCGTCAGAAGGTTCCCGTCCCTACAGCCCAGGCTCTGGATGACAAATGCCCACTCCCTGGTGCCTCAGGAGAGCTGCCTGAGCTGTGGCCCTGCTGCCTGGACAGAGACACTTGGTGGCCCCAGAGCTCGACCAGGTCCCAGGCTCCACTGCCCACACCCTGGAGCGGGGTCCCGTCCTCCCCAGTTAGGTCTTGGAAGCGACTGGTCACCTTGCTTCATAAACCTGGGGCGTATCAGGGGATGTTTGTTCTGTACAGAGGCCACATTTCCAGCCACTGCTTCTGACACGTGTTTGGTTTGTTTTTTTGTGTTTCCACACCACGCAGCTTGCAGGATCTTAGTTCCCACACCAGGGATTGAACCCGCGCCCTCAGCAGTGAAAGCGCAGAGTCCTAACCACTGGACCGCAGGGAATTCTCTTCTGACACTGTTTAGATTGGGACACTTACTTCATTCAACATCCCCTGACCCAGTGATCCATGGACCCCCTTGCTTATAGAGAAGAAACTGGAGTCTGTCTGGTGGAGGTCAGGACCATTAGCTGAGCTAAGCAGAACTTAGTTTTTGATCACTAGAGCCGGGTGAGATGTTGAAGCTATTACATTTCCAAGTAGGATGACTCTCACTTATCAAGTTGATAAATATTACCACAAAAAAGCCAAGCTGCATTGTGGGAATTTTGCTTTGGAGATAAGTGTGTGTGTGTTCATTCCATTCAGGAAATACAGTCGTAAATACTTCCTTAGTATTGCCTCTTCCTTTGAAACTTTTCAAAAACAAACAAAAAGACCTATTTTAACGTCCCTACATTTCTTCACAAAGTGAAGTCTACAATAAAAAGTTGGTACTTCATAAAATGAAACTGACACTTAGGAGACTGCCGATTCTAGGACTTTGAAAGGCTATAACCACATGCAGAAAGACTGGGCTGTTGAAAATATTTTACAAATTTCTGAACCTTAGAAGAGCTTTTCTCCAAGATTTATGGGAGAGCAAAACTAGATTTCCTTTCCTAACAGCCACGTTTGAAGTTCTTACATTATTAAATAAGTACTCTTAAAATTGTTTGAATTCCAAAATATACTTTTGAAAATCAGTAATGGTTTTTATAAGAATAAAATTTTTGCTGTAAATACCTCTTAAAAATCCATTTCTTATGTATTTTATTCTAGATTTAATGGGTTACCATTTTAAAAGATACCAGACAAGAGGCTCTCTATTTTGATCATTATACTGTGTTCCTAATTTAATTTTAAATAATCTAAAACAATTCAAAAGAGTGCATTACTACCATATAAACTAGCATTTCAAACTGTGTTATAGGCCATATACACTATCAGTACTTTTCAACTAAAATGTATTCCTAAGTACATAAGAAAAATACAAAATGTATTTAGGTGTTTTTATTATGCAACAATGTGCTTTTAAAAAGGAAGTGATATACCAGACCCCATACCAGACATAGAATGAAAAGGCTTGATTGCGTTTGTATTTAGTAGCAGAAAAATTATGTAATTCTAATAAATGCTTATTGATTTTTATAAGCACATGTGAATTAGGTATTGTTTCATCCACGTGACCATTGTTGAGTCTGCTTTTACTCCAAGAGTAAATTGTAATTCATTAACTTGATGGCTTTCCACTAAGAAATTAGTACTTAAATTTTTTTCCCATGATCAGTTACCCCTGGCAAACACTGCTGTAGTCAAAAAGGATGTCCACAAACCGGAGCTCAATCTAAATATTCCTATAGCTTGAGAGACATCCCATTTTGAAGCATCGACATACCTGGCAGTTTTCTGTAGCCTGATGTGAATTCGGATGGTGCTATATTTTAGCTACCTTGACTTTCTGTTATTTCTTAGAAGTAAGAAGCAGGTAGATGCCCCTCCCCAGTACAGTAATAACTGTACATTTGGTGTCTTAGTGTTTACTGTAACCAACCAAGATTCCTGAGAGTAATGTAACCAGTTTTACCTTTACTCAGAGGAGGTTTACTTCAAGTGACAAATTTTACTAAAAGTTTAACTGATTTATTAAGTATGACTCTCAACATATAGTTTTAAAAAAATACTACTTCTCTAGAGCAGGGGTTGGCAGACTTTCTATGAAGAGCCAGATAGTAAATATTTTAGACTTTGCCATATGGTCTCTGTTGCATCTGCTCAACTCTACTCTTGTAGCAGGAAAGCAATCATGGATAGTATGTGAACGAATGTGCATGGCTGTGTTCCTATAAAACTTTATTTATGGACACTGAAATTTGAATTTCATACAATTCTCATGTGTCACAAAAATAGTATTCTTCTTTTGAATTTTTCCAAATCTTTAAAAAATGTAAAAAACATTCTTAGCTCTCAGGCCCTACAAGCACAGGATTAAGGCTGAATGTGGCCCATGGGCTGATTGTACTAGCCACGTGCTCGAACGTATGAGAACAAAAGGCAGACAAGTTACCAAGGCAGGACCAAGGTATGAAGAAATCCAGTCCTCAGGAGGCTCACCAGCCCTGATCTTGGCATCCACAGCCATCAGCAGTGAATGAAGGAGGCCAGCCAGGCTGGTGCCCACCGGATTCGGAGCAGGATTTTCTTGCTGGGCATGCTTCATCATTCAAGCCACTGCTCCCTGCTGTGGCTCCAGGAGGGACAGAAAGCCACCCTTCCATCCCTCATCTCCCCGGCTTGGAGTCCAGCCACCGAGAGTCCGGCGTCTCTGACTGCTAATGGCCCAGGAGTCTAGCAGCTACGATGTGCTTTGCCTACACATCGCGGCTGGAGGCCAAAGACCGGCTCTGACGGCTCACCGCCAAGGCCTGCCGCCGGCATTTCAACTCACCAAGCATCTTATTTTGCCCGGGGAAAGAACGACTTCTACAAAACACTTTTAAGAACACTCTAGCCCATTATGGGAAATCTGGGCCTTTCCACATCAGACAGGAGGGATGAAAGAAGGGAAATTTGAAAATATTGTTGTTTGACCACTTTAAAATGTAGCATCATCCGCTGAAGAAGACGGCCCGACTGCCAAGGTCTCCCAAACTTCCGGGAGCTGAAATATCAAGTAACAGACGTGCACGGGACCTTTACTTTTCAAAAGGACATTTGTACGCAAGCGCACGAGTCAGCAAACATTTCCCAGATCCCAGGTAAGAGAAAAGGACTGCCCGGCCAAGGCCCCACCTGGTTTTCTCGAGAAACAGGCCGCGGGCTCCCGCGGGCCCGCAGTTCACGCCGTCCCTCGGCGCGAGGCGGAGGGATGCTTCGACCGCTCCCTGAGACCGGAGGGGACGTCCACAGTTAAAGACAAATCCCAAGGGTTTGCAGCCTCGCTCAGGAGTCAGGAGTCTTTTTCGTGGAGAAAGCCACTGCTCGGAATCTTGAGGATTTCTTCCCATTCGACGCGCGGCGAGAACTCCAGAGGCCAAAGCGACGGGAAAGAGGCCGGGAAGGTAGGGCGCTTCGCCGGGTAGGGCTCCGTGCTTGCAGGCGGGTTCTGTCTGGGGCGCGAGCTTGCGGGGAGCGGCTTCTTCTCTCCAGAAAGATGACGCTCCGCAAAGCGTCGCGGCTGCCTGGGCTCCGCGCGCTGTCGGCCCCTTCCCGCGTCCCTGCGAGCGCTGCGGTGCCGAGGACTGCGGGCTCAGCGCGCGTCGGCAGGGCGCACGTAGCGCAGCGTGTAGTTGGCCCCCGAGTTGTTGTCCCAATACTCGCCCTGGGCGCAGCGGTAGCAGACGGCGAAGTGGACGGCGACGTCCGGAGCGTCCGCGTCCTCCCCCTCCTTGAGCTGCAGGCCCGGGGGCAGGCACAGCGCGAAGTGGAAGCGCTCGGCGCTCGGCTCCTCCTCGGCCTCCCCCGGCCCCCAGGACGGCGCCTCTGGCGGCGGAGGCTTCCCTGGCTCGGGCCGCAGCTCAGCCGGCACGTCCAGGAAGGAGCGCCACTCGGTGAAGGTGTAGCGCACGGCCACGACGCGCGGCCCCGGGCAGCCCAGCACCCGGCCGGAGCCTGTCACCTCCGCGCCCCAGGGTGCCGAGCACTGCACGCGCTCCAGGCACACGCGCTGTCGCCGCAGGCGCTCGTCTGCGGCGCTCGGCCCGGGGAGCTCGAAGAGAGGCTGCAGTCGGGGAGGCTGTTCGCGGAGGGGCGCGGCCGCCGCCGCCGCCGCGGCCAGCAGGCCCGGGAGCTGCTCCAGGTTCTCGGCGCGCGCCGGGAGGCTGCGCAGGCGAGAGAGCACGGCGGGCGGCACCTGCGGCTCCTCGGCCACGCTGAAGTGCTTCACGCTGGCCAGGCTCAGCCCCAGCGCGTCCGCGAACTGCACCCGCTTCTGGCACTTGGCGCAGCAGCCCGGGCTGTGCGGCGCGTCCTCGACCCTCTCGCCGCCCTCCGCGCCCGGCCCCAGGGCAGGCGGCCGCTGCCGCTGCAGGAACTTGGCCGCCTGTAGGATCGGGTCGGCGGGCAGAGGGAAGGAGCGCGCGCCGCAGCGGCGGCGGCGACGGCTTTCCAGCAGCTCCTCCTGCTCCCAGGGGGCAGTCTCTTCCTGCGGGGACGGGCCCTCGGCGTCGGAGCTCGGGGCCGCCGACGTGCCGCCGCCGTCCCCACCACCCTCGGTGCAGAGGACTCCCGGGGCGGGCGGCTCCTCGGCAGGCGGGGGGTCTTCAAAAGGCGCAGGTCCCGGCGCCTCCAAACTTAGCAGCTGCGGCCCCGGGAGTTCCATGACGCCGTCTGACCCCGGGACTTGTTCTCTGGAGACTTGATGCCTGGGGTGGTGGAAAGAGCGCGCAGCGCCCGCCCCGGCCCGAGCGGAGAAGGCAGTCCCAGTCGGCAGGCTCCGGGTTTCAGCCGGGGTGCTCAGGCCGGAGCGGGAGGAGGATGCGGGCCGGACCGGGGCCGGACGCTGCCGCTCGGTGATGCGCCTGCCCGCGGCGCGGGAGGGCCCGGCGCCCGGAGGCGCGGCCGCTGGGCCCGGGCGGGCGGGGTCCGAGGGCTCCGCGGAGAGGGGGGACGGCGCGGAAGTCGGGGCTCCCTTTCACCCCCTCCTGCCCAACGGGCCCGCGCCCGCCCTGCCTCCGGAGCTCCGGGGTGAACTCGCGCTCAGCTTCCGTCGTCTTCCAGTCCGCAAAGTTGGCCCCGCGGGTCCCGACGGGCCTGCCCTCTGGAGGGTCGCAGAGGGTCTCCTCCCGGCGGTCGCATCGGCCCAGGAGGTCCCCGGGGCAGACGCACAACTGCGGAAAATCGCCTGCGGGGACGGTCTCTTCCTTCCTCCCCAAGTTCTGGGCTCTCGGAAGCGGGCCCGGCCCGGCCCAGCGCGGGGGGCACTCCGACAAGTTGTGGGGCGGAGGCGGTGCGGGGACGCGCGGGGCCGGGGCCGGGGGGGAGGGTGGCCGCCGCCAGCCGAGAGCGACCGGAGGCCATTCGCGCGGGGCCCGGGGGCACGTCCCCGCTCCTCCCCTCGTCCCGCCCGCCGCGCTCCGAGCTCGTGCCCGAGCAGAGGGGCCCGCCGCTCGCCGCCGGCCTCCCAGGGACGCGAACCCGGGGGCGGGGGAGGAGACTGCCCGAAGTGTTTTCTCGCTGTTGGTTTTGCTTTGCTTCGTTTCTAGGGCTGACTCCACCTGCCGCTAAGTAGGGGCTTCTCAAACTCTGGCGCGCGTCAGCGTCATCTGGCGGGGGTGTGCGAGCTCACGGCTGGGCCCTACCCTAGGGCTTCGGAGTCAGTAGGCCCGGGATGGGCCCCAAAGTATTTCTAGCAAGAACGCCCCCTTGCTGGGATCTTTCGGGCCCGCCCGTGCCCGGCGTGGAATGCCGTGACGGCATCTCAACTTGGGGACTTACAAGAGGCCCCAGATACACCTGGCTTGTCTGCCTGTTGGAACAACATCAAGATTTGGGGAAGAAGATGGCAACTCCCTGGCGGTCCAGTGGTTAGGACTCCGCGCTCTCCCTGCGGAGGTAAGCCGGGAGGTGTGGGGGGAAAAAAAAGATTTGGGAAAGATCACTGTTTTTACATTAACGTAAACATTGATGTATTATGGAGTGAAGTACAAAATTTGCCAACTATCTTAAGGATGAAATAGGACTTCACAGAGACTGTGAGGTTGTGGTGAGCCTCTTGGGCTCCAACCTCATTGCGGCTGGAGCTGCTCCAGGGTGGGGACAGGAGGGAGCCGAACTTACTTAAGGAGGCCCCCCCTCTCAGGGCCCTCGGGCCGTGGTCGCAGCCCTGTCCCACTCTTGTTTGGTGGGAACGTCGGAGGTCCCACCCTCGGGGCCCTCTCCATATATCTATCGGAGGAGACCAAGGTTAACCAGAAAGCCACACGGGTACAGAGAGAGTCAGCCCCTGCAGCAGATGCTAAGAAGGTGGGATCCGACCTGGTCAGGGAGGCCAGGGAGCCTCTGTGAGGGAGGAGACTGGGGGCAGCAGCAAGGCTGCAGGGGGCACCTTTCAGCCCTACAGAGGCCCTGGGGGAAGGGGAGGGGAATGCGCAAGCGTGGCTGCAGGCGGCACCTCCTTCCAAGATCCTTAAGGCAGCCTCTATTGTAGCCGGCCTGGGGCTGGTACCCACCTTGCTCGCAGGTGTCCCACCCCTCCCCCACGCGGCCGGCCCCCTCCTCCAGAAGAGCTCCTGTCTCATCCGACCCTAGGAGGCGTCCGACCCTAGGAGGCGTTCAGGAATGAGCAAGTGACCCAGCCAGTAAGACGGGGGGAGGGCGGGACGTCCAAGGGGAAGCTTCCATCCTTTTGCCAAGAGGGGGCGCTATAGCGCCCACGACAGTCGAGGCCACCTTGCCAACCGTCAGAGTGTTGCGATTCCTGAGCGTGGGAAACACAGGGTCCTTGAGGCGCTCGGGTTTCTCAGTGTGAACGCTGCTGGCATTGTGAGCAGGACAGTTCTTTGTTGTGACCGTCCGCTGCAAACAGTCTGAGCCCAAACTCCATGAGCCCTACCCTCAGAGCGCCACCAGCAGCCCCAGGAATCGCGACAACGGAGAAATCCGTACCCCTGTTTGCAAACACGCCAGCTTGGGGGGTGGCACGGCCCCTCTGTCACTGAGAACCAAGGAGCTTGGTCTTTGGACCTCCCACCACGTGAGGTTTTAAAAATAAATAAATAAATACAACCTTCTGGTTCAGTCAGCGTGACTGGACTTTCTGCTGCTTGCAGACCAGTGTCCGAACAGGAAGGCATTATTATCAGAATCTTGAAAGAAAGAGTAAATGGAGCCTCACAGAGGTCAAGGGATGTGCTCTCAACTCATAGGGGATAGAGCGGGATCTGGCTCCAGGTGTAACGCCAGAGCTTGGCCGTTTCCTCGCTGTCTGCTTGCCCTCCAGCCACGTGGAACTTTCTTTGAACTTTCCTGTTCTGAGTTTTCTCCTTCCCACCAACTTCCCCCAAAAGAACAAAACTGGTTGATTTGTTTGGTTGGGGGGAAAAAGAATGAACGAGCAAAAAAACAAAGGATATTTATATGGACAAAAACTGATATATACAGAACACATCTCTGTGTATGCCTGGCGTATCTCTGGAAAGATCTTGTCGACAGAGGAATGGCTCTGGGGAGTCATACCAAGGGACTGGGGGCAAGAGGTGGGAGGGAAACTCGCTTTTCATGGAATTCTTTGTCTCGTGCAGATGTCTTGTGCGCAGCCCCAATGGAGGAATCGTAGCCTGCTGTGACACCACTGTGCACATCTGCTACGTATGCTCCAGACCCCTCACCCGACAACATGTAACTCCATCTGCTTTCACATCCTCCTGTCTAGTCCCCTTCAGATGACATTTTCTGCACAGCTCCCCTAGGAACCCCCTGGGCTGATGTGAGCCGAGGCAGCAGGGCCCCAGGCCTGCCTGAGACAGGGCAATCCTACCTGGTTTACACACTGGGCTTCGCCAAGCTTTGGTTTGGGCAAAGCATTCCACAGCAGAACCACAATGTCACCATCACCATCCTCACCATCATATTAAACCAGCACTCTAGAGGACGCTCTTCCCTTGAAAGCACCGGTGCTCTCCTCGTTGCCTGGAGTGTCCTGCCCCCCACCTCCACTTACTGAACTTGCCTGGTCTTTAAGGCAATTTCCAAATGTTTGCCTCCTTTGGGACGTTTTTCGGGAGCAGCCCAGTTAGTAATGATGACTTCCGCTCAGAGGCAGATTTATGATGAAACTACAGAAGCTTGAGTATTCTCGGGCCCCTTCTGATGTGTTCACGTAGTCATGCAATGAAATAAAATACATATTTTATGGCAAGATAAGAAAAGTTTAAACATGCATTTTTTTTCTCTGCTCATGTGGGCCTCCTCACTACCCCTTAGAGTGTATTTCGCCCCTGCGGTAACCAGACCTCCTTAGGACATACCATGCCTCTTAATCTCACAAATCCACTACTTGCTTTGTATATGCAGATCAGGATTGTGTAAACTGTAAATAATACATCATTTGACGTTTAACCGTTTGTCTCAAAAACTTATAGGACTGTGCTTTGACAGTCCTCAGAGCTTTCTGAAAGATTGTCTCCCCAATTAAAATCGTCAGGTTGGCTTGAATAACATTTTCCATTTCTTTATTAGATCAACTAACCGTTTTTTTCCTCAACATAGTTTTTTTCATCGACAATACCATCTTAACAAACAACCATATATATGTAGAGAAGAGACAAGGAAGGGGGGTTTACAGTTTTAGGAGTGGCAAACCCAGGAAGATAAATACATGAGAGAAGCTCGTGGAGGATAAGGGTTGTTGTGTGGATTCGTCTGGTGCTGTCTCTGGGCTGATAAAGAGCCTGGAATCAATGAGTCTATGAGTTCTCTTCCTCCTGGTACGAGGGAGGGAGACAGCTTCGCAAATGGAAATTACGTCCAGCTTTTAGCCAGATTCGGGGAGGGCAGAGAGGGGTTTTTTCCTGATTTTCTCAACGTTGTGTCTTGATTTTCTTCAGCTCAAAACAATCCTTATGCCAAAGCGGTGGCCTGTTCTGATGCCCTCCAGTGTTCGGTGTGATGCCTTGTCCTTTAGCATGGGCAGGGCCTAGAGATGCCTTCCTGCTCAACAGTGATGGGGTGTCGCTTCTGTGATAAGGTCTCTTGCTGGCACTGAAGAAGCCAGCTGCCGTGTTGTGAGATGCTCTGGGGAGACTCGTGGGGAAAGGAACATTTTTTGATGGTTATCATGTGAAATAGAATTGATCAGAGCTCTGGGGACTTCCCTGGCGGTCCAGTGGTTGAGACTTCGACTTCCAATGCAGGGGGTGCGGGTTCAATCCCTGGTCGGGGAGCTAAGATCCCAGACGCCTCGCAGCCATAAAACTAAAACATAGAACAGAAGCAATAGGGGCTTCCCTGGTGGCACAGTGGTTGGGAGTCCGCCTGCCGATGTGGGGGACGCGGGTTCGTGCCCCGGTCCGGGAAGATCCCACATACCGCAGAGCGGCTGGGCCCGTGAGCCATGGCCGCTGAGCCTGCGCGTCCGGAGCCTGTGCTCCGCAACGGGAGAGGCCGCGGCAGTGAGAGGCCCACATACCGCAAAAAAAAAAAAAAAAAAAAAAAGCAAAACAGAAGTAATATTGTAACAAATTCAATAAAAACTTTAAAAATGGTCCACATCAAAAAAAAAAATCTAAAAAAAATTAAAAAGTTGATCAGAGTCCTGTGTTCAGGGGCACAAACCTATAATACAACTTTTACAGCTGATATATGAAGGAAACTTGAAGGGGATTTTCCAAAATGTTCCTACAAAACTATAGGGGGAAAACATATGATAGAAGCACTTTAGGCAGTTAAAAAATTATGTTTTCTGGATTTTGTGATGTTTGTGGTATAGGTTAGGTTTTTAATAATTTATACTTCGTTGTTACTTATTTCCTCGTTCTAAATATTCATACTTACCTAATTTTTACTTGTGATTTTGTAATCTTTTTCTTAAAGAAGCCTCCCTTCTCCCCTGTCCACAATTATATGTTCCAGCCTCCATATAACCGGGATCTGCCCTTTTTTTTTTTTTTCCTAGTTCTGTTTTTATTTAAAATTTCAGGGACTTCCCTGGCGGTCCAGTGGTTAGAACTCCACACTCTCACTGCCGAGGGCCCGGGGTTCAATCCCTGGGCGGGGAACTAAGATTCCACAAGACACACGGCACAGCCAAGAAAACAAAAATACGATTTAGATGTATTGTTTCTGGTGGATTTTTTTGCACTAATTTGGATTTTTTAAATATTGAATTAAAATATTATTTATCTTGATTGCTGAGGTTTTGGTGCCCCTTAAATTCTGTGCCCAAAGCAGGTGCCCATCTTGCCCCACCTGAGTCCTGGCCCTGTTTCTTGGAGGTAGGTGAAGCAAAAGCTGAGATACGTTTTCTTCCTCAGCAGCCCATCCTGGCTCCTTGGGTTAAGGTTTTAGTTTTGTGTTGGCCACACTGCGTGGCTTGCAGGATCTCAATTCCCCGAGGGGGGATTGAACCTGGGCCACAGCAGTGATAGCACTGAATCCTAACCATTAGACCACCAGGGAACTCCCGGCTTAAGGTTTAATTTAATGTGGTCCTGAAAAAAATGTTTTTTTAAGTATATAGAGCATATGCCTGTACATGCACAGAGTATATTTGAAAAGTTATTTTAATTTATTTATTTATTTATTTTTGGCTGTCGTGTCTTCATTGCTGCGCGCAGGCTTTCTCAAGTTGCGGCGAGCGGGGGCTACTCTTCATTGCTCTGCGCGGGCTTCTCATCGCGGTGGCTTCTCTTGTTGCGGAGCACGGGCTCTAGGCGCAGGGGCTTCAGCAGTTGTGGCTCGCGGGCTCTAGAGTGCAGGCTCAGTAATTGTGGCGCACGGGCTCTAGAGCACAGGCTCAGTAGTTGCAGCGCACGGGCTTAGTTGCTCCGTGGCATGTGGGATCTTCCCGGACCAGGGCTCGAACCTGTGTCTCCTGCACTGGTAGGCGGATTCTCAACCACTGTACCACCAGGGAAGCCCTGAAAAGTTATTTTAAAAACAGTTACACAGCGTGCTTTGTGGGAGGGCAAAGGAAATGACAGGGAGGGAGCTTGCTTTGGAGACTTGCCTTAGAACGTGTATTTTTAAATTTTTAAGGGAAAAATTTCTTAAGATAAATATTTTTTTTCTTATTACAAAAGCAGTACGTATTCACTATGGGGAAATTAGGCAATACAGATAAAGTAGGAAACAGAAAGCATAACCATTCATAATCCCATCACTCAACAAGAATCCTGTTAGTTAATATCTTTTCCTATCTGCCCCATTCGCTTCTGCAAACCCATAGCATCACTGCCTGCTTCGCTGGGATGCTTCTTACCACTTACTGCTTTGGCTGGTTCTGACTTGTTTCCAAATTTTATCTCCAATTAGCACATCTTTTTTTTTTTTTTTTTTTTTTTTTTGCAGTACACGGGCCTCTCACTGTTGTGGCCTCTCCCGTTGCGGAGCACAGGCTCCGGACACGCAGGCTCAGCGGCCATGGCTCGCGGGCCCAGCCACTCCGGGGCATGTGGGATCCTCCCGGACCGGGGCACGAACCCGCGTCCCCTGCATCGGCAGGCAGACTCTCAACCACTGCGCCACCAGGGAAGCCCCAATTAGCACATCTTTGCTTGCAGAACAGGGACTGTGTCTAACTGGTCTTTGTTACTTTCCAGAGTGTAGAATGGGAGGCTTGGTCAGACCTAAAGACCCAAGAGACAGAATAGCTGAGTTCAAACCTCAGCACCATCATTTCTGCAAGTTATGTGACCTCTCTGAGCTGCAGTCTCCTCATCTATAAATGGGACCAGGTGACTGCCCGTGCAGAGGAAAGAGGAAAAACCCTCGCAGAATGCTTTGCACAGAGCCCACCGTGCTGATGCACAGTAATTGTTTTCCGTTATTACCTGCTAGCACAACGTCTTCATTCATTAATTCACCATGTATTTATTGCATGCCTGCTCTGTGCCACACACTTCTCGGTGCCGGGGACACAACAGTCAACAAAATGCGAGGCTCTGCCTCCCGTGAGCTCACATTTTATACATTTATTTATTTTATTTATTTATTTTTGGCTGCAGTGGGTCTTCCTTGCTGCACGTGGGCTTTCTCTAGTTGCTGCGAGGTGGAACTACTCTTTGTTGCAGTGCGCGGGCTTCTCATTGCGGTGGCTTCTCTTGTTGTGGAGCATGGGCTCTAGGTGCGCAGGCTTCAGTAGTTGTGGCGCGTGGGCTTGGTAGTTGTGGTTCGCGGGCTCTAGAGCACAGGCTCAGTAGTTGTGGTGCGTGGACTTAGTTGCTCCGTGGCATGTGGGATCTCCCCGGACCAGGGCTCGAACCCGTGTCCCCTGCATTGGCAGGCGAATTCTTAACCACTGCACCACCAGGCAAGTCCCATCACATTTTAATGCTGGGATCGGAGACAAACAACACACAAGTACGTGAAATATACATCATCCCTGATAATGATACCTGCTACGCAATATAAATCTTTGCATGTAGTAGTTACTCATTAGACATGTTGGTTGAGTTGATTTCTTTTCCCTACCCTCCCGTCCCACATCTTCTCTCGGTCCCGAGATCCCGTTTCCAATGTGGTTACATAACATGAGGCCTAAACTCTCGAGACGGACAGTTGCAGACATGGCCCTGGGCGTATGCCTGGAAAGGGCTGCAGCACCCAAGAACGAAGCCCAGAGGTCACACGACATCCGTACCTGTGACATCGGGAGACGCCAGCAGGTGTCTTGACGTGCATTTTCCTCTGGGTGATCACACTGTTGTACTCCCAAGTTTGCACTCCTCGGCGATCGATGGTCGCTGTTCTGTGAAGTCAGGACAGTAAACAGCGGACTGCGCACCGCGCAGGGTGAGAGGTCGGGAGGCGCTGGCTGCACAGTGTGTATGACCCTGTGTGCCTGTCTCCAGGGGTGTCGCCTGGCCTCGTGTTTCTGCTGCACGAACCGCCACGTGTTTACCTTTCCTCTGCTCCCTCCTGACCCTGGCGTCCAGGAGCCCAGCTTGGACCTCCCACTGTGTCAGGGCCAACAGACAACACCACTGTAGGGCAAACACCTGCTCGTCAATAGCAGAAGACCGAAGGCCCGGGGTCAAAATGTATGAGCCCAAAAGCCTAAAGCAGATGGGAGTGTGGAGACCTGGGATCCTTTTCAAAGGGAAATATAAAACCTAGGGGGTATCCTTACACTGTGACAATGTCGGGTTCTTGGATTAAATGTGTGAAAGTTAGATTATTCCTGCCATAATGCCCATAACCAAGCATTAACATATTAGTTCACATAAATTTTAAACCTTCATACTATGTATTAATATTTAATAATTATGATTCCATTATTATGATGGTTGAAATTCCTCAGCCATCATAATGGACCTTGGGGAATTGGAACAATAATAAAGGAGAGGTAACTGCACTGGAGCCTAAGGTAGAGGGGTGAGTCCCCCGAACCACTGAACGAAGACAAGTAGGTGTGTCATCCAGAGTGAGAGAACTTGGAGCTCGACAGCTAGAGCCCCTGGGTCTCCCCCATGGACCTCTTTGGTCCCAAGGTTGGGACAGAGGATGGACAGGGGAGGTGGG